ATGTGACTAAAGATACTAAATAATAGTTTTTATTCTCAACTCAATAATGTCGAATCTACATTTCAGATTAAATTGAATTAAATCTTGCAACAAGTTTTTCCAACAAATTTACTTACAAAAAAACTAGTACTAACTCTTAATGCAATTGAGATACTTCTTGCTGCATTTAAACTTCCACGACCAAAGTAATCTGTGCAGAACATTTATAATTCGTCTTTTTAAAAAAAGCAAATTTAGTGTTCTTTTCAACCCTCACTCACCCACCCCTCTATGTCATCCGGCTCAAAAGAAAGTAATTAAAGAAGTTTGAATAGTCTTGCTAATTGATATTAATTAAGGGGAAAATTAAGTATTAATGCCAACATCAATCAACTGTCTCCGTTTTTTTTTCTTCATCTATGTCTCTCCTATTTCCCGGGGACGAAGAAAATCACTCGCCAAACTTAGTTAACAGGTTTGAATTATTGCAGTAGTCGTAGTGATTTTCTTTGGAATCAGGTCAAATTGTTACTACTACAATGGTATGGTTGCAGTCTATCAGCGAGTGTATCATGTATTCCCAAAAGAAGTATTGCTCAGCGGAAAGTTTCTTTTGTGCATTCTTCCACCCTAGCAGCTATTTTATTCTCATTGCATTGTATCTTAGCCAAACATCCCCATACAAACTGGTGTACAACAAATGGATGATCGCTTCTCTCATACGAGGCTCTCCAAATTTCATTGAATACACCAAGTATATTCGACGTATTGGATAATCTTGTTTTATTTAAGAAATGTTTTTCATTATTTTCTATTATATTATGCATTTTGTATTATAAATAATAAAATTAAAAACAACTAAAAAAATACTTCCAACAATTTCACACAAACAATGTGATTCAAGAAACGAACAGATTTATATATTTTAGTAGTCTGCAGTTAAAAATACACGTACTTCTCAAATTCAACGATTTAATAATGTGATACGTTGACACATCACAGATTGTGTTGATGATTTGTTTAATAATAACGTGATTATAGAATCAAAAATGAGAAAAAAGACAACGTAAAGAGGATTTTTTAAAATTGCTTAGTCAATCTTTTTCGAATTCTTCTTAAAAAAAGTTTCTAGTGTTTGAGTGCAAATTTTTCATTCAAGTTATGTATACATTTTCATATTTCTAAGTAACTATAATTACTTCCATATGACTTATTATATTTGATGATTAGAATAATTCAAACATTATACTGTATATTCCCAAAGGAATAGCTAAAACTACGAATTTTTACTATAAATCATGTATTTATATTCTTATCTACTTGAATAAAAACGTTGAATCTAAATAGAAGAGAAACAACATTATAAAACTTTGACCAAATTATTTCTATTAAAATACTTACATTTATTCTTCACAAGCACCATCATCGTACTTCGGTCTATTCACTTTGTGGTATTTATTTGCCAACGGATCATCCTCTCTTAAAACGCTGTATTCAAATCTGTACTTATTGAAGTCCCCGTCTTTACTCTTATAAATTAATAAACCGGCAATGCTCAAACTGATACCCACTAAACCCATGAAGGTGGCGCCGACAGTTTCCGGGATTTCGTCCCATGCCCGTTTGAACAGCTTCACAGGGCGCACCATTTATTGTACAGCAGAATGCCGAACTCGTGATGGATGTCAATTAATTGTCAAAGCAGTGCAATCTATCAACGTTCATGCCACTAGGATCATTATTTTTAAAGTAATTTCGCGAATAATTAAACGAATTTGATAATTTTACAATATATAGATTATATTATGTAAGCAAATATATTCTAAAAAGAAATAACAATCTGATAATAATTTGTTTATTTTTATATTCTATTTAAATCTTTGTTTTATTAACTTGACATGACATAAAAATATAGTTTAATTGAAATTTCTTATTGAAAATGATTTATATTTCAGTTTAATTCGGTGCTATAAAAATGATTTATTATATATATTATCTCGTTTGATTGTAAAAATAACAAATAAAATGATCTCAGTTGCATTAGGGTTTTGTAGAAATTAATGAATTATTTTAATTATTTGATTAGAAACATAAAGAAGTGGACACAAAATCTTCTCTTTTACGTGAATTGAAAAAAATGAAAACTGAAATTGGTTGTAATCCACAGAACGTTTAGACAAACACGTCTAGCTTGTATTACCTTCATTAAGTTTGTGGACGAATATTGTCAAGATTAATTTTCTTAATTATTCAATGCTCTAAAGGCAATTAAACCCAGATTTCTTTTTTTCTATTTCTGTAAATATCCATGTGATCAATAGAAAATAAGTTTTATGAAAATTAGAAAACCGGTTTACTGTTAATAAAATAGTTGAGATTCGAAAACCGGTTTTTGTCTAAACCTTAGTTGCAAGCCTAGTCCTTATTTTATTAGTTAGAAAAACTTTTAGAAAATGTATAAACTCAGAAAAATCTTCTTTATTCAGTATTATTTATTTTGGACAATTTTTAGTTAATTTTTAATGAAATTCTGTAAAAAAAATACTAAATATACTACACAAAATAATTGAATAATTTACTAATTTATTATTAAGTATTTCAAAAAATATATATATTTTGCTCATTAAAAGAACATTCTTAATACTTTTCTCAAAATTTAAACTCAAAATGAGAAATTTAATATGGACCTTTACTGCACTCTGTGTTTTCATCAAACGTAAATATAGATCAGTGCATTGGAACATCCTGTGCAAACTTGTCCGTATATATATTTGTTTAGTTATTTTATTTTTCAATATAGGGAGAGCGTATTTTCCTGTGCCCGTAGTTATGTTTTATTTTTCAGTTTATAGAAAGAAAACAGCTACACACCACTATTAATTTCCACCCGTCAGTGTTTCCGTTTCGGAAAAATTTAGTTTCAATAAACGTGAGCGCGCCCAATGTTGCTTCGACAGCGGTTTCCAACGAAACACAAACAGAACGGAAACCAAAATAAGAGAATTGCGACAGGCGACGTATGAAACAAACAACGACAACAACAAAAAATAGGTAGCTGAAAATATGGCTGTGAGGGGTTAGTGAACGAAACAAATGAAAAACGCCGGAAGAACTGATTGTCGTTTTGGTATTATTTTTACCATAAGTCATTTATCATTAGGTTTTTGTCTTATTGCAGTAATAATTTATTGTGTTAATTATAATTGATTATTTAAGTATGAATAATGTAGAGTTCTAAATTTAAGCATTCGAAACATTTTTTTTAAGCAAGTTAATATTGTTACATTATTATGTAATTAAACCATTATATATTGGTCTTCTTGCTATTGGCCTTATTATTTTATTCATGTATATGTATATGCTTCTTAATGACTTAGTACAAATTTTACTTAGGAAAAATACTTACCCAAATATTATACTCCTACTACGTTAATTCCCTACTATAAAATAGGATGTTTATGTAATACAAAGTTACCTTTAGTCTAAGTCTTAGTTGAAGTAAGTCTTAGTTGGAGGGTCGAAGAAAGAAGATATTATTATCTTAAGAGGAGAATGTTACTCTTAGAAATGTTTTAACAACACATATGAAATTTTTACAGGCGTCGTCTGAAGGTTGGTACTTCCTAAAAATCATATGGATTTGTCGATAGAGGCTCCATCTATATGTCATCCTACGAACTTATTGAATGAGGTTTTTTATGAGATCAACACTTATATAATTCATTTCTCAATAAAAACTGATATGTACAATAAAACTAAATAAAAATATTGCTATTAATATTCATAGACACTAAGACTCCACCAGGATATAACTACGAGATAATCCAGTGTCCAGAGATTTCTTAATCCCGGGACACAACATTATTTTGCAAATTACATAAACTGTAGTAGCTTTTAAATTTATATTTCATTAATAATTCAATTACCAAATGATACAGAACTATCAATTAGTAGATTCGAGATGAAAGAAGGCTAATTAAACATGTTGATTGATAAATACTATAATTATGTATACGATGTTATACAGATAAATAATTATTTCCATTTAATATACTTTTCAGTTCATTTTGAGAAATGGAGCAACGAGTAATTTTTCTTTATTTTTAATGAAAAAATGTAACTTCAAACTCTAATTAGAATGGTTTGTTTGTTAAAATATATAAGATATATACTCACTATAACTACATACACATTACGCATAAGTTGGACAGGTGTTATTAAGGAAAATTAAGTTTAAAATCTTTCAAGAGTTTCTATGATTTAGTTTTAATTAACCAGTAAATAATTGTCATCTTTAAATAAAGTAGGTCTATGTTTACAAAACATTAGTAAATGCGAGTAGATTATGTCTTACTGATGTTTTTTTTTTAAGAAAATAATGTGTTATTCCTTTTTCCTTAAATCTGGAAATATTTGCGTTAGATTGGTTTCGATATCGATTTTGCAAAAGAAAGGAAAAATTAAAAAAGCGAAGAAAATAAGGAACGACGGGGAGAACCAGAAAGAACGGACGGAAGGAGGCACCAACGTGAACAGGAGAAAAAAATAGAAGTTTCGCCCGAGATTATTAAATTTCAAACATAAATCAGTTCTGACAGCTTATTGGATTATGCATGAGCGATTGATTATATAGTAAGATAGCGCGTTGAGGAATCTTACGGAGAGGAGAGCAGCATCTGGTGGACCCTAAATGCATTTGGATGTCGAAACTAAATATTGATAAGGAAAGCGAAAAAAAAGGAGAAGGCAAAGGCAAAGGCAAAAGGGAGGAAGAGGAGCGAGCAACGTCGGAGTGTATTGTTTAATAAAAATCGTTCCATAAAATGCAGATGCGATTCTTCCTCGCATCCAGACACTATTCGCTTTGCATTTTTGCGCGCCACGTCGAGCGTTTAAAGTGCACGAACGAAAACATGAAGAAAAAAAAGAGAGAAGTAAAGAAAAAAATATAAAGAGGTAAAGAAAAATCAAGAACCGAGGAGAAACATACCGGGTTAGGAGTGTACGTTAATAACACAGAGATGGCGCAGTGCAATAACGAGGAGAACGAGGAAGCTCTTTGTTTCTTCCGTGTCAAAAGTTATTTTTAAGTTTAAGTGTTTTGAAAGAAATGCAAATGAGGAAATGTACTTTTGCCAGAGAAAACACAATGCGATTCTTATTCGCGCCGCGATACGTATCTTCCGTCTCGTCGTGTAATTTACTTTTATCCTTTCTTAAAATGTTATATTAAATTTAATCTTGCGAGAGACATCTATATCGCTTACATAACATACACTGATGGATCTGTTTCTAATGATGAAATTATCTTGTACATAGTTTTGTCATTCATCTTCCTTTTTTGAGCTCAGCTTGATAGATTTATTTAAATAAAAACAGCAATAATATATTAGTAATTAGTTAAATAATTTTTATTGTTTATTAATAACTTGTATAGCCCTGATTACCGATTATTTTCTTCTATACAATCATGTATCTTTTGTGCTGTTCATTTTTATGTAGTTTTAATCGTAACTGATACTATCCGGCCAATTTGACTTTTTCACTTTTCAAATTGAAATTTCACAATGAACTTTATAGTTGCGCTTTCTTCCGTTATTGTATTTTACATAACATATCAATCAGCTGGTAACTACGCAATAGTAAAGTCATGCTAGTTGTTAAGATATTGTAATATTTTCTTCCATTCCGGTCAATTTGACCGTATGTACTTGTCCTGCTAAAAAGGAGAGAAAATCATCGCATTTTTGCATAATTTGCCATGGAATGTATTTGTATTTGAGCTTTATATATTTCGTCCCTTATATTAAGGGTATAGATTATAAACCATAAATGTTTGAAGATAAAGTTTTAGATATAATTATTAATAATTATTTGTTAGGACATTGAGAATGAATTATTTATGTAACCGGTCAATTTGACCTGATAGTAGTAGTATGAGCGTAATTAAATCAGCATAGTAGCAATTACTTTAGTACTCTATTAGTCAGGTTTCAAACAGTCGAGGCGAAACCGTGCCAGCAATATGCACATTTATAATAACAATAGAAGAAAGTATGAAGAAATTCAATTTGTATTTTCAAAAATTACTTTTTACGATTACGATTATATTTTTACATATAACTTCTTTTTATTAATAAAAAATGAAGCCTTTATAATACAATGGAACGTTTGGATATGTTTTCGGACAAGAAATCTGTAGTAAAAACGCATACATATTATTTTCATCATTATAAACACTATATTATCATAAAATAAACTAACAAGAACTAAAATTTGTTACACACAAATATTTTTTGAAGTTATTTTTATCAAAATATGTTTTTAATTTATTGGATCTTAAAATTTAGCAATCTTAACTACTAATTATCTATACGTTTTTTTTATATTATCAAACTCATTGTGCATCGGCATGGACAGTGTAAACTATGTTCCTTGTGTTAAAGCGTACATTGCAGCATGATTTTACGTTATCTGCTAGACGTTTTCCAAGTTTTGAACTTTAATAAATCATGCTTGTCTCTTAAGGGATGGGGCATATGAAACTATTCTTGACAGTAACATTTAAATTGTAGAGGGTAAAAATGAAGAATAAAACTACAAATAAAACTTAAGAAAATAAAGTTTTTATAATATATATTTCGTAAATTATGTTACTTTAATTACATTTGTTTTTTGTGATTTAAGAATATTCAATGTTTTTAATTGATCCTAATTTGGAACAATCTCTCAAATTATTAAAATTCTTGTTTTATCATCATTATATAATATATTCTTTATTACATCTTTCATACCAAAAAAAAGTAGTCAGTTTATAAAATCAGACGAATTTCAAATTTAGCATCAATATGATCATATATTATTGGACAATTTTATAACATTTTATTTGTTATCATTTAAAGAATTACTATTTTCTATTTAATATATTTTTGGCCAGATATAAAAGGAACATAAATCCAAAATATAAAAAATACTAACAATTCTATAACTTTGATGTGACGGGATTTTGATATAGTCGGTATTTCGATACAGTCGGGATTTCGAATGACGGGATTTCGGTTGTCGGGATTTAGATATAGACCCAAAAGAAAAACATCAAAATAATTATCTAGAAATAGGCAATCAACTTTTATGAAACATTTACCTTCCATTTATTTATTTTGGACGATTCAGGTTTTTTTTGTTACTTTTACAGTTACTTTTATTTTTGGTGACCGACTTGCCGCTCGATACCTTTTAAACTGTTGCTCAACATTTTATCGGAGGTTCGTGACAAGGTTCCTTGCCTTATATTGAAATGTCAATCGGGCACAACATCTAGCCACTTACTGATCCCGTCTGTGTTTATGTATATCCAATTTCCATCTTAATAAATAAAGAAACACCGACGATCTTCGAAAAATCCGTCTCACGATTCGATCCGCCCTTTCCGGAGCAGATCCTTGCATAATAATGGCACACCGTCTGTCAAATAAATTTGCATTTTGCAATATGCCCGTCATCTAAATGCGAATTCCACTTACCTTGTATGGATATTAAAATTGCACTCTCTCGAAATATTGAAGAGAAAAAAACTGTTAAAACTTATGAATTATTTTATATATTCCAAGTCTTTCTGCCCTATTTCATATATTTAAACATATTTATTGGTCGCAATTGAGAGTACATTGATCGATGTATGTCTGCTTATAGTTTGAGATATTTTCTTAAGTACCAATTTCAGTTATATATTATGAAATTCAGTGAATAGTTTGTTTAGAAACTATATTCAATATTTACAAAAATGTGTATGTTTTTGATTCAGTAAGTTATTTTTGAGAATTACAAAATAAAATATTATTTTTAAATTATAAAATGTACTAAAATTGAAATAAAAACATTTATAAATTTATTATGGTAACAATTAAATACATTTATGTTTGCATTAATACTTGAGTTTTCAAATAAAATATACCAGGGTTTGTCGGTTTTTTGAAAAGTGTTTTCTTTTTGAGGAAATTGATGTAGTTCGAAAACGGAGATTTTCCAACTGAAAAACCGGTTGTTGACGCTAGCTAGACTCATACACAAAATCGTGTCTGTTACGTGAATTGAAAAAAAAATAAAACTGAAATTAGTTAATTAATTAATTTACAAAATCCACAGAATGTTTAGACAAAGACGTTTTTCAAAAAGTGATTAAGTTTTTTTGGACAAATATCAAGTTTGTTTCCAAATTTTAAAAAAAAAATATTTAAGGACCTGAATATGTGAACTTTTAGTCAGAGAGTCGAACCGGAACCGAACCGTAAACCTAAATTAATCGAAATTTTTAACAGAACCGTAACTTTAACCGGAACTTAAAATTGCTCAATTGAAAAATATAAACCGGAACGAAATTAATTTCGGTTCGACATTTTAGATAAGAGAAGAACAAATTGGTTATTGAATGCACTAAAGACGATTAAACTCAGCTTGGTAGCAACGGAGTTTCTTCTATTTCTAGAAAGAAAAGAATCTTTGTGTCTTATATTTATAAATATCTATTTAAGAGAATCAGTAGATGATTGAAATAACAATTATATCAAGCAATTACTGCATTCATAAATATTATCTAGATAATTTAGCTATTTGGACATAAATTAGGAAGAATAAAGTATAAACAAGATTTGTTTTTACTATGCGTTATTGCATTGATATGATGTAGTGGATTTTGCATTTTCCGCAATATAATTAGCTGGATGGAAACATCGATCGTAATTAACTGAAGTTAATTTGCGGAATCATTTGCGTGCCGCTACTACAAATATTCCTGTGAATATAGATTTTTTTTCGCTAATGCACACCGAGGATTCGTCGTGAAATTGAAATTTCCTATTAATACAGACGTATGCTCGTTGCACGTACCTATATAATCATCAAAATGAATATGATGTGCACAATGGAGGTATTAAAACTATACAGACTATGTAATTCGTAAGGCTGCGGCTTTGCAATTTCCTTGTTATATAATTTAAAACTATTCAAAACTTAATCGATTCACGTTCAAAAGTTTCCTAATTGATTACACAAATATTTTAAAGATTATACATCAAATACATATTTCATTTATTTGAGTTTATCAATTTTCTATTGTATTTACTTTATATTCATAAATATTTTCTATTTCAACAATATTTTATAAGATTCAATCATTAAAATATATAATTTAATTAATAGAGTTAAATTAAATATACTCAATATTATTATAATCATTTATTAAACAAACTAATTCTAGTCTTATTAAATATGCTGTTCATGTTAAATTGATGTTTCGTTATTATTTTAACATCAATCAATATCATTAATTAATTAATAATCAACCTATTTGTATTTTGATATGTGTTGTTAAATTTATATTGAAACTTCAATTATACAGGTAGTATTTACTCATTAATTCGTTCAGATTCTTTTTTTGCAAATAAATAATGAATTTTCCATAAATGAAATGGTTAGACGCATATGCATACATGTAAAATAAATACATAAATCCATTTTTACAGTATTTTCTATAAAATTCATTTTTATAAATTTTTATTGACAAATAACTTTCAATTTATATCTTACTCACTCTACATAATTTTTAAACATACTATAAGACTAAAACTTTCAATAGAAATACGAATATTTACGATCAACAGAAAGTATAATATAAATAGATATTAATAATTTCTTAATATTTGCATTATGTAATATATTTGCATTATGATATATTTTCTAATAAAATTAAGTGTAATAATTTAAAATTAAATTTAAAAAAATGTTAATAATGAAATATCAATTATAAATTTTGAATTGTTTTTCTTTATATGAATTTTATGTTTTATATCAATTTAAAATTAATAACTAATAAGTAAGTTGAAGCTTTTTACAGCAATTGAATTTTTATTTTATTGCAATAAATGTTATTATTTATGTATATTTTTTAAGTATGTATAAATTATATAGATTTGCTGAGTGAAGATCGGCGAGAAGCCATTTAAATAAATTTAAATGTACTTATTGAAGTAAATTGCGTGGGCAATTTATTTTGCACCATTTAGAATGTCTAATGAGGCGTG